ATTTAGGGCACCTAAAATCGAAATAGCAGCCGTGAATAAGGATTTCGAAGCAGTACAATCAACATTTGTTAATTTTGAAAAAATGTTTGCAAAGTTTGAATACGTTGATGGTTTACCAAAGAAGAAGAAATCATCAGCTATTGCTAACGGTGAAAATTTAATTACATTAATTTCACCGATGTGGGTTCCGCCACGCAAGATTGCTGAGAATGATTCCTCGGAAAACCATATAACATCTATAATAGTAATTAAAACTTCTCCTCCTTCTACCAGCAATGAACTAATAGTAGTCCTAGAAGAAGTATATTTATTTCAAGACTTCATTGTAATACTACAGTGGAGAATATTATCAACTACATACAATATAAAAAACTAAATTTAAGTAATACCGATTATGAAATTTTTAAATTTAAATCTTCAACTCAACGGGAAATATCTTCTTTTAAAATTGTTGTGCCGTCAAATTTATTTAGGACTTAATAAATAGATCATTTTGGCCTGATTGTGTTTTAGTAAAAGAATTTGTATATAGGGAATGAAATAACCCAGTAAATCTAGAGGCAATTCACCCTGTGTCGACTGTCTCAAAAAACTAATAAAACCTTTAGCTATACTCTACCAAAATGTAAGAGATCTTAAAACTAAGCTTAAAAATGTTTATTTCAAGTATTTTGGCTGTGATTACAAAATTCTTGTTTTCACTGAAACTTGGTTAAAACCAAATATTGGTGACACAAAAGTTTTGTCTGATCAATATCAAACCTATAGAACTGACAGAGTAAATAAATCTGGTGGGGGAGTTCTTATTGCTGTACACAACTCCATTGCCTCAGAGCGTATTCCTACGGACAATTCCATTGTTGAATTTGTTTGTGTCAAAATAAATTATTTAAATAATATAACAGTTCTAAAATGTTCATATATCGCTCCAAATTCTGAAGCAGACATTTACCTAATGCATTCTAAATTAATAAAACAAGTTTCAGACTTACAAACCACTAAATTTGATTTGATTTGTCTTGGTGACTTTAATTTGCCTCATATAAAATGGATTCCAGGTGAGAATAACATTGACTATTTGCCAGTTTTGTCAACAACCTCGGCACCTGGTATGGATACCTTTTGGGACACCTTATATGATCGGTGTTTGTTTCAATAAATAATGTAAGAAACACCAAAAACAGAATTCTCGATCTTGTTTTTTTCTTCTTTTCCAAACATATCATTATGTAGATGTGCACCCTAGAACCTGAAGATAAACATCATGCCACATTATGTGTAACTTTAGAACTGCAAGATAACTCTTTAAAAAATACTATGCGGATGAAACTTGTTCAAAAATTAAACTTTACGAAGACTAACTTCAATAAATTGCGATACTCATTATCTTATAGCCTAGACAGACGACAGCCGTAATTTGCATTAACAGCCTTAATTCAAATTAATTTATACATTATCCTCATTTTTATGTGTTTTTAATGCACAAAATCAAACTGAATTTATACTGAATTAAGCAATTTCAATATGGCAATGCTGTAGAAAATAAATTGATTGTTGTCAAATTTGTTTACGTTTATGAAAATAAAATTTATAAATAATAGAAAATTCAACAATTATTCAAATTGGGAGCTGTTTTACTATCGTTATAGCCGATTTTCTTCCTTTCTGCAATGTATCAATTTCATAAAGACGTATTCCCAAAAAATATTGAAAACAAATGTCAATATCTTCTTCCTACACACAGACAAACAATAGTTTTGAAACAAAAAATTGTTTCATAAATGCAGAAACTCTCGTCTGTCAGGGGTAAATATTAATTCAAATTAAGAACTTTTTAATGCAAATTAAGGCTGTCGTCTGTCTAGGGTATTATGCTGATTGGAAATTTGAAAATAACATAGATTCGTCTGTTTCATATTTTTATAATAATGCCCTATCAATCTCAGTCCCCGTTCTGAAAGTTAGTTTGGACCGAGGGCCAGCATGGTTTACTCCATATCATAGACGTTTACGTAACATTAAGAGTAGATTATTTAAAAAGTTTAAAATATACAATACATTGTTAAATTATACTAATTATTCTAAAGCTAGACATAAATACAATACAGAGAATTTAAAATGCTATTCAAATCATCTGACCAAAATGAGACAAAACCTTCTATTAAATCCTAAAAGTTTGTATGAATTTGTTAATTGAAAAAGAAAAGTTAGAGAATTTTCTAGTAGTATGAATTATGGTAGTAAAGATTCCGCTGATACGGTTGAAATAGCAGACATGTTTGCAGATTTCTTTCAAAGTACATACTCTACATCCACATTCAACTCAAAGTATGCTTTTAATATTGATAAAATAAACAATTCCCTAATTTTCTTCTAACAGAAGATGAAGTGTTGGATGGTTTAGATCAATAAAGTATTGTTGCTCCCCAGGTACTGATGGAGTGCCTGCGAATATATTGAAAACTTGTGCTTATGAACTGTATAAGCCCCTGACTGCTAGACCCTGGAGATCTAGCTTCATTATCCCTTACATAAGTCTGTAGCAGAAATGTTATTGAAAATTATAGGGGTATTTCAAAATTAAGCGGCATTCCAAAACTTTTCGCACTTTTAGTATTACGTAGAATAATTCATTTCGTTTCGCCAATAATTTCACCTTGTCAACATGGTTTCATAAAAGGGAGATCGACTTTAACTAATCTGATGGAATTAACATGCCATGCACACCATGGATTTTCTACAAAGCAACAAACAGATGTAATTTACACTGATTTTAGTAAAGCATTTGATACTGTGTTACACAAACTTTTATTATTTAAATTGGACGCCATGGGGTTTCCATTCAAAACTTTGGCTTGGATTTCATCCTACTTGCAAAACCGCACTCAAAGCGTGTCTTATAATAATATTTTCTCTAGAAATATTGATGTTCATTCTGGAGTTCCTCAAGGTAGCCATTTAGGTCCACTATTATTTGTGTTATACCTTAATGATCTTCCATCAGTGGTTCAATTTTCTAAAGTGTTGATGTTTGCTGATGATGTAAAACTTTTCAGAAATTTAGACTCACTAAATCAAGCCCTTAATCTACAAAATGATTTGCACTCTCTTGAATACTGGTGCAGTATTAACGATATGTCACTGAATCTTAAAAAATGTAAAAAATTATGCCTTTCTAAATGTCGTTCAATTCCTATCAATTGTTTTATAGGCTCTTAAAAATTAGACCATGTTGATTCCTTTGTTGATCTTAGCGTTATCTTAGATGACAAATTTCGATTTAATTTGCATATTGAGTCATGCGTAAATAAAGCCAAATCTTTACTAGGATTCATAAAACGATGGTCTAAAGAGTTTAACGACCCTTATGTGACTAAACGTTTATTTTTTAGTCTGGTTCGGCCTACATTAGAATATGGATGTGTATTGTGGAGCCCGTTATATAGTTGTTATTCTAAAAAAAATGAATCTATCCAAACACAATTTCTCTTATTTGCTCCTAGAGGTTTGCCTTGGAGTACAGTTGAAGGACTCCCTACTTATGAAAATCGTTTAAAACTTATTAATCTTCCAACTCTAGAACGAAGACGTTTAATGCTGAGATCTGTATTTTTAATATAACTTTTACGCGGTCAAATTGACTCCAAAGTTTTAATCTGTGATATCAAGTTTAATGTACCTTCACGTCTTACTTGTAATTATATACCGATTTATCTTCCTTTAGTGAGATCTAATTGTATAATCGCATCTCTTTACCTGATCCAATACATGTAATTAAAAATTCTATTCTAAATTTAGAACTGTGAGTGCAAGCAGTTGCCAGATGTTTGTGTTTGTCTTTATCGTTGTGTTTAATTAATTAACTTTAAATTGTTTAGCCGTCTGATGTTTACTGTAGCCGGTGTTTCCCAACATTACTAACCCTCCATGAGCCGGATTATGGGGTGTACGTTCTCCCTACGTTATGGGGAGGAGGCCCCCTCGGTCGGCAGGGGCGGGTAAGAGTGGCGTGGGAACGATCGAAAAAAACTGATTAGAAAGACTAAGACTCGATCACATTGAAACCAAAAATATGTTCATGTCATCAAAAACATAAAACACGCAAAACAAGAAACCGGTTTCTAATGACCGTTAGAATTACATTCCACACAACAAACAGAAACACTCATCACGCCCCATAAAGCATATACATAAAGTTTGGTCAAAATCGATGCAGTAGTTCTTGAGTTACGGTGCATAAACACAAAAAACTACATATTGCGCCCTCTGTCGGATGAACTTCGAACTACACAGAAACACTCCTCACATCCCATAGAGGCTGTACATACAATTTGATCAAAATCGGTGCAGTAGTTTTTGAGTTTAACGATCACGGACTACACTTAATTTATATATATATATATATATATTAAAAATTATAAAAAAAATACATAATTGGTCACATACACATTTCCAAACTTTAATTTATGTTCGTTTAATGACAAAGCAGTTTTACGTTGGATTCTTTTCATTTCAAATTTCTATTGGAGATATTATTACGTTTGTTAGAAAAATCAATTAATAAAATATTGAAAAATATTATAAAATGAGATTACAATGGGACAACGCACATTATAGCTTAAATTACAATGTGGCAAAACGAATAATTTTTTCAAAGACAAAAAAGCGTGTGGATAATACGGAAAAGTAAGGTAGGCATGTGTGGTATATTTTACAATATTATGAGAATTTATAAGAAAATTGCTTTTATTACAAAAATGGTATTAATACTGACTCAATGTCATGTACATGCTTCAGATATGAAGATTCAATAAAATATACTTACTTACTATGGCATTTCTAAAATACCATTACCATTTATACTAAAATACCATTACCATTTATTCTAAAATACCATTACCATTTATAAACCTTATTTATATTAAAATATTTGCTTTATTAAATTTTGGAGGTATTACATACAGTTATCAAAACAAAATAAAATTAATGGAATTTTAGAATTAATCATGGGATACTTCAACTCGTCTTTTAGGCAAGAATTCTTCAAGCTCCGAGTCTTCTATTTCACATAAATGCACGGAAAGATTGCTATTGTAGGGACTTTTACGGCAAAAATATCCATCGTCTGAGTTAACTGCAAAAAAAAAAATGAGAAAACGATGAGACATGTGACTTATAAATTATGATTTTTTAAGTTATATACATTTTATGTGGGTGGTATTCGAATTTTTATTATATAATTTGTTAAACAGATCTGTAAATAAAATACTTGATAACTGCAATGAACTCACTATTTTAACATTGTGATATTCTATGAGGTATTCAATTGTCCGACTATGTATTACTTTGAACTTATTATAAAATAATTTTTTTACACGCCAGATTTAAAATCTATATATCACAACTCTATGTCATGCGCAGCGTGCGAAATATAATCGTTTGTTTAGTTAAGAAACATTTGTTTCCGAAATTTCTTTTGCCATTTTTATTAAAGAGTTTTACGCCTTTTAGAATACCTGGTAATTTTACCCTACACAACTATGTTGTCAGGGTATTATAGCTTTGTGCAGCCCCAAGAGTTTGTAACGCCGCGAAATATTGGTCCTAGAACCTCCTTTAAGTATACCGATCATATCTCGACTAGCTGAGTCGATCTACACATGTGTTTCCGTCCGTCCGTCGATCCGTCTGTCCATTATAATTTGTAAACACGATACAGGCCACAGTTATGTACCAATCTTCAGGAAATTTTGCATGTATGATGGGTTCTGGGCAATGAAGACCCATATTGTTTTTGGTAAGGAACGGGTAATATTTGGGGGATGATATGAACCAAGTACTTAATTTTTATCGTTTTTTCTGGTCGCTCCAGAGACCGCAATTATGGCCCGAACCTCGCGAAATTTTACATGGAGAAGGGGATCGGGCCAAAGAACAAGCATGCCTGTTTTGATAAAGATCGGTCAATATTTAGTGGGTCAAATGGTTCCAAACTTTTGTGTGAAAAAATACAAAATTTGTATTCGTCAGCGTATAGATTTACCCCTGAAGGACATAGACCCGAGAAGTTGGTAGTATATCCAAGACGAGTGGTTGGCTTTTAAATTGATACCAATTATATTGTCGTATGTACTCGGAGTTACACGTAAATATTTACAGGTGCTTACGTATTCATTATTTAGTAATCAGTTACCACACTGGAGGGCGCAAATAAAGCGCTGATGGCTTTGAAATGTTCCATTAGGTTTCAGTTATGGTCAAGGACAACGCCTATACTTTTCGGTGATGACCAGATAATAATTTTGGGATGAAGTGGTCCAAAGACTTATTTTTAGTTTTTTTTTCTATTGGCCACAATTATAAGACAAACATCACAACAAAACCTACGGTGAAGGGAATATGGACAAGCAATTAGAAGGACTGTACTGAATATTAGTAATATTCGGAAAATAATTCCGTGTAAGGAAGTGGTGCAGTTGACCTCTAATCGGGCAACAGTGTGTAGATGTGTTATTACTACAGTTCCGTGGTAGTTGTGTAGGGTATCGTATGGTCGGCTCTGTACGACTATTCTGCTCCGCTCACTGGTTTTATGAATATGTTTGTAAATTTCGGAGATATTAAGAACAATTTAGCGTACGCACGCGCTACATAATTTTCCCATTTAAAAATTGGATATCAGTTTCGATATGAAATTTCTGCGAATTGGCTGGAGATAAAATTTCGTATTTTTTACACCTATTATGGATTATTCAAGATTATATTGACATTTAATTTTTTTGTGAAAACAATTTCTAACATATACTTTTTTAATTTTGAACACCGTCACGCACATGTTACACTCGTAACGCACCGTTACACACATGTACTAAAAAATTAAAACAGAATGTTTTAAAAATGCTAATTCTTATACCCCACACAACTATGTTGTCAGGGTATTATAGCTTTGTGTGGCCTCCAAACCTTTAGTAAATCATTATGCAGTTATGGACGAAATTTTTCCCTGTAAATCCGGTTCTAAATCAACTTATTGATGAGGAAGATCCACACATAACAGCATTATTAAAAATCTCATATTAGAGTCTGTATAGAAACATACAATAGGTTTAGTTTGGGGATGTGCAGTCACATGTGTGACTGCAACACTCTGAGACCGGTTAGGTCCGTTGTGATCATCCACAAGAAGAGATACAGCGAAGAGAAGAGACCAAAGACAGATCTGTAGGGGAGAGAAGATTAGTAAATTAAAGGAGTGACGAATGAATGGAGATCGATGGCCCTATGAGTTAGACAGAAAAAGTGTTACGTGCCAAGGTTGTATGCTCCTAGCCACTTTATGTTTCTAATTATGCTGTAGATTAGAGCAGGTTCGATTGTTGAGCAGAAGCTGAGACCCGGTAGAAAATGAGCACACATTAGTCTGTGTCGCCTGTAAGCCAGGGCTGGGCAATGACACAGGAGATGCTCAATTGTCTCTGTCTCCTCCTCGACAACACAGAGTCTACAGTAATCAGTTGCATCAAGATCCCATTTACTAGTAAAAGCCCTGATGTTGCATTGACCAGTGATGATTCCGGTCACCACTCCAATTTCAGCTTTGCTCAGGTTCAATAGTGAGTGCGTTCTTTTGGTAGACAGAGTCAGCCAAATTGATCCTGACACGTTGCACCTAGATTCGTTGTGCCAAAGTTCGCAGGCTGTTTCGTCAAAGAATGCCTCAAAATTCCTATAGAAAAGAAATATTGGTGGTTTGATTGAGTCATCAGTTTCTAGATCGGTGGATTGAGATCCTCGTCTAGCTAGTTCGTCTGCTCTTTCATTACCCAAGATGTCACAATGTCCTGGTACCCAACACAACCGATAGCTATGGTTAAGTGCTTCCAAAGCTGCTCTACACTTGAGGACGGCTTCGGATTTTATGTGACAAGATTTGAAGGATTTAAGAGCCGCTTGACTATCCACAAAGATAGTCACCGGTTCAACGACCTCAGCATACAGATTTTTATCAATTCCGCTGCATTCCAGATCGCGAAGATTTCAGCTTGGAAAACGCCTGCCCCAGTACCTTCATCCATCTTGGATCCGTCTGTATAGAAGGCCAGACCGTCCAGGGAAGGGTTACTTCGCTTCCAGTCGTCTCTACTAGGAATAACGACATCTACGACATCAAATCTAAGGATTGGTGATATATTGTCGCTTAGTTTAGCGCGTTGGTCCAATGCTATACCTGGTTCATTCAGAACACTACTATGCCCAAAGGTACAGTTCCGCCAAACTTTTTGTTCATGCAGCCATAGGGCGCTACGCGCAGACTGACACTTAATGCGGAGGCCCAAAGGCTTGAAGTACAGCATTGCATTCAAAGCTGCTTGTGTCGTACTCCTTCTGACTCCTGTAACTAAAATCGCGTGAGTGGTTTATGGATTCAAGTTTACGTTGTTAAAGGCTCCCTCTATATCTAAAAAGGCGGCCAGCGTCAAATTTGAATTTTCCATGTTCCTCTCAATATAGCCTACCACTTCGTGCAGTGCAGATTTACATGCATAATTTAATTTACACATGCATAATTATTAAACATATTCTGATGTAGAATCTTGAAATAACATTTATTTTTTTATTTTTAATATTTATTGGTTATTTTTAATAATTGTATGCTGCACTTCATACAGTTTGAGTCAACGAAATTAAAATTGAATGAAAAATAAAAGAACAGTACAACAAACAAATGTCACAAAACTCTTTACACATCTCGTGCTTTTTTCTTATGGTGAGCATTGTATGAATTTTTACGGTACTCTACCGTTAGCTTTTGTGTGTTCTACTCTTTTGTTTTATATTGGGAATCATTTGATGGCAACATTTTTTAATGGGCGCAACATACCTTGAAATAAAGTATTAAAAAATGCCAGGCAAAAGGTTATCTTTTGATCTAATTTAGTTGATATATTACAACCTCCAATTGGGAAAAAGGTGTGATCGAATTGTCGGAAATGTTTTCAGTTACACGAAAGACAATTTACAATGTATTAAATCGAGCAGAAAACGAGGGAAGATTGGAGTTAAAGCGAGGTGGTGGTCTGAAACCCAAAATTAATAAGCGCATGATTATTAGAAAAATTATTCAAAACCCTCAAATTTCCACTAGGACGCTTGCGAGGGAGCTCGAAGAAGAGTGTTGTGTTAAAGTTTGTCACGAAACATTTCGACAGACAATATTAAAAAACAAATACTCATCAAGAGTAGTACGCAAAAAAACCTTACTATCTGCAGCAAATATAGAAAAAAGATTTTCCTTCGCCAATACGAACGTTTCATATCCGACTGAATATTGGGAGAGCGATGAAACTAAAATTATTTTATATGATAACGATGGGCCAACCAGAGTAGGGTGTAAGCCTTTAACAGCACTAGAAAGGCAGAACATCATTCCAACAGTCAAATTTGGAAAAATGTCAATAATGATTTGGGGGTGCATATCACGCAAAGGCGTGGGAGACTTAGCTTTTATTGAAACAACTATGGACGCACAACAATATTTAGATATTTTAAAGAAGCACATGGTAACCAGTACTGTGAACTTTGGGTTCATCAGGGAAAACAAGCCACATTTTAAATTTTTTCAGGATAATGATCCTAAGCATAAGTCATATATAGTGCGCATGTGGCTTCTTTATAACTGTGGCAAAGTTTTGGATACGCCAGCCCAAAGCCCAGACCTTAACCCTATAGAAAATTTGTGGGTCAATTTGAAAAAAGATGGCTAAACGGCAACCAAAAAAATATAAAAGTATTAAAAACTGCAATTTTGGATGAGTGGCAGAACATTCCAAACAATTATGACTTGCAAAAGTTGGTCCACTCGATGAAAAAACGTCTGCAATGTGTGGTAGATGCAAAGGGAGGCAATACAAAATATTAAAACTATGGAAATGTGTGTTCAATAATATTATTATACTATATACCTTAACATTTACTTCTTGTGAAAAGAGTTAATTGACAATGTTAAAATTGAATATTTTTTGTTTTTGTTATATTTTTAATGTTTTTAAACTGAACTTTTTTTGCATTTTATCTCTGTACATATGTATACAATTATAAAAAAAAATCAAAAAAATAACTTTAATAAAAAATATT